GAGCCTGAGGAGGAGTCGGCTGGAGAACCTCTTTGAAGAGATGTGTCTGCAGCTAAATAACAAAAAAGGAGGGCTCCTGAAAGTTCTTGGTCACAATGAGGAGCGACAGCTTTCTCAGATTCAGACGCAGATACAAAAACTCAAAGAGGGGAAGGATGCAGCCAGCCATGACATACAGGAGCTGGAGGCTCTGAGAAGTCAGAAAGACCTACTTCTTTTCACCAAGGTACCTAACAACATCTCCCTTCCCAGAGATACTCAGCTCTTGGGCTGGCCTTTGCCTGCACTGTGCTAATTCTACTTTCAAAATGTGTTTTACAGGCTTTTGCAGCAATTCAAGCCAGGTAAGCTCTTCCTGAGGTGGTCAACTGTTGCATTTCACATTGTTTCAGGTGGGTGGTGGTCCAGCAGCATGGGGCTGTTAGCCCAGCCTGTGTGTGCTGCTGGCCCACAGCTCCCTGGGCTCACCCCAGCTGCCCCTTGGGCACGCTGATTGCACAGCCTGAACCTGCCTTCATCAGAGACCCGGAGAAGCCCCAAAATATTAACAGAGGTCACGTGTGACTCTTCATATACAGCATGGCTTCTTCTTCTCTACCCTCCGTGCTTGTCCTCGAGACCCATTCTGGGGCATTTTCTGAATATTTAGGTCCTGGGTGGGCATGCAAAGGACAGATGAGTTTAGATATCCTGAGTTGTCCCCCAGTTTGCATTGCATCCTGTTTGTAAGGAGCAAATGTGGCAAGAGCTGGAGCATGCAGTGAAGTCACGAGTCTATAAAGTTCATGGCTTTTCTCCTGAGCTGTTCTCCCAGTGCCTGCCCAGTGCTGTTCTTCCACCATGCGTGCACACAGGCTCCCCCAGCCCGGCCTTTCCCCAGCCCTGCATTTCAGGTGCAGTAGTTGCCCCTTGGCTGTGATAATGCAGCACTTCTCATTTATTGTCCCAGCATCCCAGCAGCTGCCCCTGCTGCCTCGTTAGCCTTGTCTGCGGGGACTTGAGGACGGTAACCGCAGACATGATGCTAGGGTCTGTCCTGGCAAAAGCTGGGGCTGAGGTGGCTGAGACAAGGTCTTCTGGGGCCAGGTACTGTCCACAGAGTGAACTTCATCATAACAATGTTGAAGCGATTTGGGGTTCTGGGAAAAGACTGGTCAGAGGAGGGGTCCCCGGTAAAGCTGCAGAGGGAGAGGAGGACAGAAGCTCCTTTCTGTATCTCCCATTGGGAGTGTGGAGTGGGAGAGGTAGTTCTTGGCTCAGGGATGGGCTCGGTGATCGTTTTTTGATGACTTGCTGCTCTTCTGATGTCTTTCTGCATTTCTTAGGAAACACAAGCCAGTTCTTAGTGAAGCTGGTGTAGAACTACCTGCACCGCCCGTTATTTTGAATGAATTAACAACAAACACTATTCTAAGGCTTTTCCAGCAATTCCTCTCAGACATGCTGTACTTTTTTAAAGTACCACCTGGTAAGTGACCATTTTACTATGTGACAAGCAAGATGGAGAAGCTAACAAAACATATTTAAGAAAGGACTGTAATAAGACACCAGGTACCCCAAGTACCTCTAGAAGAGCTGATTACTAACATTGTATTTGATTATTTTCACATAAAATACATAAAAGGGTGCTAGTTTTGGGCTTCAGCACTTTGGAACAACCCTTGAATACACCCTGTTAAAATGGGCTCTGGGTAAAGAGGTGTGGATGTCCCAGGAGTTTTCTGGGAGGATTAAGAGAAGAGAATAGCAACGCCTCTTCTGTCTGTAGTATCACTTTGATTCAAAGCAGGGGGAAAGTTGAGAACTCATCACAGCAGGAGGAGGTAGAGTTTGTTTTACAGCATAAATAATCGACTCTTTCTATGTAAATAATTCTACTCTCTTGTAAGATCTGCCTACAGTCCTGGTGCTGTGCACAGTGGGATGCTTGTCCAACTGAACTGAAAAAAATCAGGGTTCCCTTGTTACTGCTCTCTTGATGGTGCTCGAGCCCTTGCTGACAGTGAGCCAGGGGTCAAGGCCAAGAGACAGCTGGGGTGGGAAGGCTCCGTCCAGACCGTGTGTGACCATGTGCAACATGTACACCTAATTGTCTGCAATCCGTGCAGCCATGGGTACACCAAGGAGCACACTGTGCTCACAGCCACTCCTGAGGTCAGTCATTACCATCCCTGTAAGCATAGTCCAGACCTATGCTGGCTAGAATGCCTCTGATCTAGGTTCTTGTAATTATCTATGCCATCTGAGCAATTTTGGTTAGTTGCCCCAGTCACTGCTTCTGTTTCAATTTCCTGAAGGAGTAAGTTCCAGAGCAGAAAATGCCATAATATTGAAATGCATTACCTACAAGAGAAGGCCTGAATAAAAACATTCTGCAAATTCCCGAGTGTAGAATTAACTTATTGTGACTGGCCATGCTAGGAAGTTTTGAGAGTTCTAGAAAATAACTTCAAATGGTCCTAAGCAAATGAGCATTTATAAAATGGCTGTGCTGCTGTTCACACATTTCTTGTACATGGAAGTTAATCTGGGAAGTTTTTAAAAATGAAGCTCTGCAGGACAGTGATGGAAAAGTAAAGTCTAAGAGTTGCTGTAGTTGGAAACAAAGAGTAAAAAGACACTTTAAAATTGTGGAAGAACAGCATTTATTGAAATGTGATAGCAACCTCCTTTAGAATTACATAGGAGCAGAAGAGGTGCAGAAGGTGTTTCAGTTAACCCATGCTTTTAATGACTTAGGTGGGTTGGACTTGAATTGGATGATTTGGATTGTGAAATCCAGCTTTCAGCAATGGGGATGTATGCAAATGTGCACAATTATCTCTTAATCATAATGTGTTGGATTTTTTTTCTTCTATAGTTCATGAACATCTGACTTCTTCAGTGCAACAACAACGTGGATTTTCTTTCAATAGCAAGTTGATCGTTCCACCCGCACGCACTTCTTTACAATTTGGGGCACTAACGTCCACCCCACATTCCACCCCACATTCCACCCCACATGTGCAGAGCGACCAGAGTTTCTCAGAGGGTTGTCACTTCTGGGAGGTGGACACCAGCAATTCGACATGGTGGAAGCTCGGAATCATTCATCCCGACTTTGAGTGCTACCTGCAAATGTCTCGTAAACACCTCCATGTATACCTAGGTCAAAAAATGATCAAAGCAAAGGAGTCTTGTACAGCCCTCAAAGTGGTCAGGGTAGAGCTAGATTGCAGAAGAAGTACACTGTCATTTTATAATGTGCCTGTCGAGGGTGGAGGTCCTGCTGGGAGCCTCAGGCTTATAGACACAGTGAGCATCCCTTCGCACTATCCCGTCCATGCTACCTTCAGTGTGTCTGACGGCTCTTTGAAGCTCCTGTAGTGATGTGGGGACAAGGCACTGGTTTGTATTTCCAGGCCTAGGTATCGAGAATGCCTGTTGTGTAGAGGCTGTGCTAAACTAGCATATTAGAAATTGGGTTTTGGGCTGCTGTGACGGCCTGTCTGCCTCTGTGTGAGGACAGGGCCTCTGTGGAGGGTATCCTAGCACAGTGCTGCTTACTGCAAGAGCTCCTAGCTCCTTTGTTCTGTTAATCACAATGGAAATACTGTTAAGTTGCACTTTTTTGCTCGACTGTATCAAATGTTGTGTTGGCTGTGTGTTATTAAAGTAATTTAGTTTGCAAACCTCAATGGCAATTTAATTTATAAAAAAGGTGACGGCACAACATTAACTGCTACAGAACTAAGCAGCAGCAATGCTGATCTTTGCTCTGATGCATCAGCTTTTACCTCTGTCCTCCTCCGCCCGTCCTGCACAACATAAGCCATTGGTTGCAGGAGCAAAGCTGGCCTGGGAGGCAAGTAGAGACTAAGCGATAAGACACACCTTGTTTCCCTTGCTCTCTGCTGCTGGCCTCCCCTGTTAGCTCTCTGACACATCACTTACCTACTTCTTGCCTCAATTCTACTTAACTCCTCACCTATGCAAAAATCTCACAGCAAAGGGAGTAATGAAGAGGAAAACACCTGTGCCATATGGGGGGGCCTGGATTAGTTTGTTCTTAGGACTGTCCAAACACCTTGGAGAGGAAGAGATGATATTCCTGCCTACTGCCGGTGGTTCTGCTGCCTTCAGACAGAGTGAGGGTATTTGCATGAAGAAGTCTAGGCAGGAGCTATCTACCTTAGCAGGGACAGTGAAGGACTTTGAAGGACATGACAGTTTTGCATATGCTAAAAGAAATCCTTGTTCAGTCTTAAAAGAAAGTGGCTGTGTTTTGTCTTTTGCATTTTATATGCCAAAATTATGTGGAAAACTATGCAGGTAGAGTCAGGTCCCCTAACTGCACCTGCAGCAGTTGCTGCTGTGCCTGATCTCGGGTGGTACGGGTGCAAAGCGAGGTAAGCAAGGCTTATGACATGGCACAGGGTAGTCCTATCCTTGAGTGCCTTTCTGGGAGCCTTTACCAGCCCCGATTTCCCTGTCAGCTGGCTGCAGGTAGGAGGCTCGTCTCAGCAAGCCCCAGTAAAACTTTCCCCTGGGTTCTCCCTATTTTACTTTTAGGTGAGCATCTGTAACTGTTGTAGAGAAGAACCAGATAAGGCAGAGGGAATTCCTGGCTTACTCCAGCCAGGCTCATACTCTTCTCATCCAGGGTTTATCTTTAATTTGCTGCCCCTGGTGTGGGATGAAGGATTTTTCTGGGAGGGCAGAGGGCTGTAGAACTGTCCGCCTTGTGCCCTCCCAGCACCCCTGGCTCCCACCAGCCCGCTGGGGCTCACACACAGTGCCATGCTGCCTGAGATCCAGGGCAAACATCTGAAAGGGGCTGCCACGGTTTACAGGAACTGTTTGTGGGTGGAGCCTGGGACGGGGAGTCGATCTCCGCCGGCCTGTCACAGGGGAAGAGGAAGAACTTAGAGCCTCCGGGCTGGGTGTCTAATTGGGGCACAATGCCAAGAAGTCTTTAGTTTTGTTTCTCGCAGACAGGCTAACACGCCATATCTGCAGCCATGGCAAAAGCTAGGGAAGAATCTGGAGGGAGTGCCAGCCTGGAGGACGAACTCAGCTGTCCCATCTGCTTGTGTCTGTACAGGCACCCAGTGTCAGTGAGCTGCGGTCACAGCTTCTGCAAGGAGTGCATCCAGAAGGTGTTCAGTGCCCAGCAGCAATCCAAGGCCACTTACTCCTGCCCCATGTGCAAGATCCAGCTGGGGCCCATTCTGGAGCTGCAGAAGAATTTCCAGCTGTGCAGCATCGTGGAGGCATTTCTGGCCACGACTTCCAAAGGACAACAGGGCAAGGGTTCTGCAGAGGGGAAGAAGGAAGGCGTTCCTTGTGATTTCTGCCTGGATCAGTCCCAGCCAGCAGTGAAAACCTGCCTGATCTGCGATGCGTCTTTGTGCCAGGCCCATCTGAACAAACACAACACCAAGGCTTCCCAGCAGGTCCACGTCCTGGTGGAGGTGGGTGGAGGTGGTCTGGCGGCAGAGAGGAAGTGCCTGGAGCATGGCAGGCTGCTGGAGTGCTACTGCCAGAACGAGGGGCAGTACATCTGCATGCTCTGCTCCATCGCGGGATGCCACAAGGGCCACAGCATCATCACTCTGAAGGAGGCACATGACAAAAAGCTGGTAAGGGGCTCTCCTCTCCCCATGGCCTCTGCAGGGTTTGCTCCAACCTCTGGACCTGGAAGAGTGGGGAAGCTGCGGGAGGGTCGGTAAGGCTTCCACCGGGGAATGGGGATGGGGGGGTGAGGGCAGGCAGGCAGCAGCTCAGGGGATATCATGTCCACCTCAGCAGGGATGGGTGCATCAGGAAGGAATTTGCTTTTCATTTCCTCCTTTGTGTTGCCAAAAGCAGCTTGGCAGGCTAAGCAGAGGGAGGAGAGCAGAGAAGGGTGTCTGGGGCTGACCAGGACGAGGGTGGGTGAATCCCGCAGTGTGTGCTGGCGTGGACGTGCATGCGGGAGAGCAAGCGAGAGGCTGGCGCAGGGCCCCGCTGTCCCACGCCAAAGTGCATGTCCATCATGTGCAGCCCCAGGCAACTGCAAACTGCCACTCACCAGGGTATTCCTGGCTGGCATTAAGTGGAATCTGCAGGGATTAAGAAGTCTCTTCCTCCACAGAGCCTCAGGGACACCACCACTGCTGAACTTTGGGTTGGGAAACGGGTTTTCCCGCTGGACACCCTTCCCTCTGGCTTCCCCCTTCCTCTGCCTTAAATTTGGCCAAGCCAAAGTCCCACAGACATGTCCCTGCCTTTGTGGGGCCTCAATGTCCCTACCTTTGAGCCCAGCTGCTGTCCTTGAAATGTTCCAGGATCAGCTGAGACTGAAGGGATAAAATGCATTTGCTAAGCTCACTCACTGCCTTGTATTTGAAATTTCTGGGCTCAATTTAAAGCCTGAGCAAAACACCCTGCAGGAACCCAGTGCGTGGGCAGGCAATGCCTGGCTCGCTCTGGACCTCAGGACACATCACAGCCTCCTCGGGAATTAGCAGGACACCTCCTTTGCAGTTACACGTATTGCAAACTAACTTTCTCCCCCAGGTTACATACTAAAAATTCAGGGCTGCGAAACAGAAGTGGGCTGTGTAGGACAGTAGCCATTTCCTTCCTCCCTACAGCTGGTAAAGAAGCAACACTGCCCTGTCTATGGGGATGCCATCTCCATGGATAAGCTGAGATCTCAGCTGCATATTCCCCCTGGTTGTTTTTTTTAAACTCCCCAGGATAACCAGGGAAATCAGGAATGCAGCTCTTCAGGAGGAATTATAAAAGGGTTTTGGTGCAAGGAACCTCGATCAAATTTGATTATTTTACTTTTAATTTTTCAAAAATTAAAACTTGCCAGCTGTGACAACTATCTCATGGGAAACCTAAGCTTTCTGGCGTAATTTTTATTAAAGAAATGAAAATCTGGCAGCTGTGTCTGCTGTGGCTATTCATGGGTGCTTGAGGTGTGAAAACACTGCTGGAGGCAACCAGGAGCAACCAGAACCATTCAGAGACTGTCTAATCCCCAAAGAATGAGGTTTAATGTCCCCTCTGAAATATGTTACTGTGCAGTATAACAGCACTCAGTGATCATGGTATCCATTAAAATAAACAGCTGGGTAAGTACCGCTGTTTTGTTGATCTTCAGAAAAGATAGTTGCTTATTACCTTATCCTCAGATCCCACTGCTGCTGACAGATGTGAAAACTAAGGATTTTGATCGTGTTAGGCACATGTGAAGATTCTGTCAGGAACAGAGCTTTAACAGATAAAGTGAGATTTATTCATTTAAAGTGAAATTTACTTATTCAAAGGGAAGGATGTTTATTAACCTACCACATACAAACTTACACATATATAAAATTTACACATTGACTTGAAAGATTTCAAGATCATATCAGCTGTCCGTTATGACATCTTTATGAAGAGGCAAATGAACACAGGTTGTTTTAGGACTCACTGGTGAAAGCAGGCAGGTAGAAGGCACCTGTGCCATTTCACCAGCTCCTCAAACTGCCAGCCTGGCTTAAAGCTACCTATGCTGCTTCCCTGCTATGAAGTTCAATGCTGTCTTTCCTTCTGTTAGGGTGAACTCTCAAACATGGTGACATGGCTGCAGGAACGTAAAACTGCTTTAGCTACCGCCCTAGAAGAGCTTCAGGAAAACGAGAATCAGCTCAAGGTTGGTACCCAGATGTGGGGAGTGTGGGAACGTATCTTGGCATACCCTGAGAGGACTATGGGAACTGAAGGGATACATGTCTGGTGATATGAGAAGCACCTGCGTCAACAAGGTGTGAGAAAGGAACCTTGAAATGTATCCAAAAGATGTTCCCTGGCAAGCAAACAGGAGGGGATGCAGGCAAAGTCCATCAGCCACTCACTGTGCAGAAAAGGGGCGTGTGAGCAGCTCGTGCTGCCAGTGAACAGCCAATAACATGTTAACAGGTGTGGGTGATTTCATTAGTTTTGGGGTATAAATATAACTGTATTAGAACAAATAAATGGCTTCTTGCTTGATCATATTGATCGTGTGGCAGAGTCCATCGTTGAGTTCCCGCACCCAGATCATTGCTAATTCAGAGCATCTTTCCTCCACAATTTCCCAGAAATAAGTGATGGCAACTATACTGTTAGAAGCAGATGAATAGAGAGAGATATAGTCCAAAGTAGGGAAAACACAGGCGTAAGAAACTGGCAGAAGCCAAGCTTTCTCACAGCCTCCCAGTATAGCTCCACAGCAGGACTCAGCTGGGAGACTTCACCATTTATGCAGACCATGCTGCAGGACTAGCAGAACACAGATTGTACATATCTTTATGTATTTTTAAAGTTTTCTATCTGCTAAATGAAAGAAAAACAATGTGAGTCTACAAGTGGGATTTTCGATATGTACCGATACGGTTCTCACATTGATGGCTGAATTTTACGATTCTGTAACTAAATCAAGATTAATTTTCATAACCCTCTGTTCAATCAAATATTCTAAGCAATTACTTACTGTCCGCTTCCTTCTGAAGCTAGTGCACAGGATAGGTACAATCCTGATTAATAAATAGAGACACTAAGCTGAAGTGTTGAGTTCCTGAGCCAGTTCACCATTTTCTGTTCATTTAGACCAATAAGAAAACAGTGACTTTTCAGCTGCAAAAGCTGTTTGAAGAGCTGAAGACAGAGATTATTCAGAAAGAGAAGAAGTTGCTGTGTGACATTCAATCCAATGAGAAAAAACAACTGTCAGACATAACGAAAGTGAAGAAGGAAATGGAACAGAGGAGAGATGAGGCTGCACAGCATCTTCAGTCTTTGCAGAAGATGAGAGAGCAACCAGATATTTTCCTGTTTTCCAAAGTAAGCAGCAGTATTCTGCTTTTCTTTTCTTCATGAACACACCTATTTCTCAGCCAGCTGGCCTTTCTGGAAATCACACTAACAACTTTTTTACTTTTTTTTTTCTTTTTTTTTTAATTGTCAATCCTATTTGTAGGAATTTAAACTGGCTACAGACAGGTACGTTCCACCCAAAACCACTTGTTTTCTTCTTTGAAAAAATATGGTGTTGATAACTGGGATCAAACCCCACTGTCTGTGCCCCTCTGTCCAGGCATCCACGCTGCAAAGTTGCTCCCTATTCCAGGTGAGACAGAGGGCACCACATCCACACAGTTAATGAGGATGGAGAGAGATCTGCCTGCCTTTACAGTGGTCCCTTTAAGTTTCAGTTTCCTTGGCAGCTACGCAGTTGCTGGATTCTGATGAAAACCACTGTTTTTTATTACCAGAAAAACATTTTTGTCAGAGATGAAGCCCATAGGGTTCAGTTTACAGCGACACTCTCTTGAATGTGTATTGGTGACACTACTGCACATAAGTGCCAGTGAACAGCCTTTGGCTGCAGAGGTAACTGGCTCATTTCCCACTAATTTTTGCTTCTTCTTGTGGACAAGCTTAATAGCTAGACAGATGTATTATCCCTTCTCTTGCAAGTGATACATTTAATTTATAACTTATCACTTCCTAATTGACGCCTGGGTGTCAGCTGTAATTCAATGGTGCAAAACCACACCAACAGTAAGTTACAGATCCACAAGAGATTTTGCTGCAGCACTAAATTCCCCAGCCACATGAAGGGCTAGCTCAAACATCTAGCTGGACTGTAGGACGTCATCTCTGTAACTTGTACAAATTAAAGCTGAGTTTGAACTTGGATCATAAGGATAACTTTGAATCACCATGTTCCTAGGGGCTGTGCTGGCAGCAGCACAGTCCATTACTCACAACTGTGCTGCAAGTCAAAATCTAGCCTGTGGGATCAAAGTCATTTTCCAGAAGCCTGGACACGATTTAGTATGTTTGGCATTTTCTTTCTATCACAATGGCAGTCGTGCTAGAACAGTAAGAACCTGCCTGCAGCAGGTCAAAGCACTATTGCAAAACGCCTCCCCCTTTCTCATTTTCAGCATTTGAAAGTTCCCATCCACGTTTGGTAAGCATAAAGCCTTGCCAAAAAAACCCCAAGATATAACAATTGCAACTCACTTAACCTTATCAGAGAGCTGTTTACTTGATACTTCACATTGCCAAAGCAACCTGCTCTTTGTAGAGTCCTTCCTAATGAAGGAGTTTTGATAACTTTCTAAATCAAAATGGTTTTCCTTGGTGAAATGACTGGCTGTGCCCTAGGATTGCGAGTCAGAATTTTGGCACCAGCAGGATGGACGTGGTGGTAGTGCAGCTGGATCAGGACAGGATCAACCACTTCCAGCACCTGATGAAGGACGTCCTCAATCGCCTGGGCTGGCTGCTGCGAGACATGCAGAGTGAGTGGTCTGCCCCAGCCTGCTGGCCATGCTCTGCTGGCCCCGAGCAGAAAACAGCAAGCCACAGGGTTCAGTCAGCCAGGCTGGTGGCCACCAAACGCTGGATCCTTTATACGGGCCGTGTGCGTGGCCTTGAGGGGCTGATGAGGATTCAAATAGGATCTTGGGTGTGTTGGAGAGGGGAGGGTGAAATGGGCAGAAAGACTTTCTGTGGATAAGAAGGAAGTGATCTGCTCCTAACCAGCGTAAAGCCAGCTTCTCCTCTGTCTGATGGGGTTTCCTGCTCCCACCTACCTCCCAAGTCTTTGGGTGCTCAATCATACTTTTGAGAAACATCCTTTTCATTTGCCCACCCCCATCCCCACCTAGTTTATCCCCAACCATGAGATCCAGGGACACAGTACAAAGTCCTGAACTTGAACACATTGCCAGCTTTGTAAAACATTCTTCTCTGTCTTTCTTAGGTGAACTCGCCAACCAAATTAAGTGGAACAGGTAAATCCTTTACTTACAAAAGATTCCCTGCAAATTTCACCAACTGTTGTTCATTTAAGGACCATGTTTCCTGTGCTGCTCTGCTTCCGTCTCAAGGAGAGCCAAGCAGAGATTAGAAGGCTGTTCTTCATCTCAAAAGCGGGGGTCAGATCTATTCACGACTCTTATTTTATTATTAACAAGATGTGATTCATGTTTTACAAGGCACTAACATTCAACACTGTTTCTTTACAGTGGGGCTTCAGACACCTGTACCTTTTCAAACTGTAAGTATTCAAAAAATACTAGTTATTCCTCAGGACTCTGGCCTGGGGCTGAGAGTCTCACAGAGAAAATCTCTCACCTAAAAATGTGAACATCATCTTGTTGTATGCATCTCCTCTCCTTGTCAGAGGTGAGACCAGCAGGTGTGCAGCCTCAGAGCACAGTTCCCAAAATCTGCAGTGGGCAGAAATCTCTGGGAACTCACCAGAGAAATAATTTATCTTCAGCCTCAGGGGAGAGACTGGATCTGCTTCAGTACTTGGTAAAAGTCTGAGCCTGCTCCAAGGAAAGACCATGGAGGAGTTCCCACCAACTGAGCAGGAGCTGGAGCAAACCCAGTGCCGGAAAGGATTCCCAGACAAATCCAAATGCTGGAGGAGATACTAAATCTGTATTTCTCTCCAGATAGCACTAGCCCAATGCTTAAATAGATTTCTGCTGTGTACAGTGACACATCTTTTCTACAAGCTTTTTTGAAGAAAACTTATTTAGAAGTTATTTGAAAGATTTAAAAATGTTTTTTAATTGCTGTGACTAAAGTTCAGTTTGCAAACAAGTTTTTTTAAATTCATAGATTCAAAATAAAATCTTACTTTCTTCACCACTTTTAAAGTTTTGGAGGGGAAAAATACTATCTCCTGACAAGCATTTCTGAGGGACAGGTTAATGATATAATTTCACTTCAGAAGGATGTGTTTGAGAACAGCTGTTCAATGGTGGTGGGGGGCGGGGGTGAGGACAATGTAGTCTTGCCCTAAATGCAAACATATTTGTTTAACCAGACACATTTGGAAAAAAAATTAAAAATCACATTTTGTTTTTTCAGTACTTCATGAAGCTGATAATGGATGGATAGCACAAGAGGCATACAATGCAGGTAAGTGGTTAAATGGAGTTTTAATTACACAGGGCAGCTTAACAATATAGTTGCTTTCATTTAACATAATGGCAGCCTCATATCTAGCGGCATCTTTTAAAATAGTGTACATGGCCATTTATTTGTCTTGTGACATCAGTCTTCTACAGATATATTAATGTCTGTGTTCTATACAGAACCAGACAGTTACTCAAAACAGAGGAGGGAGAAAGTATTTTTTCTTAGGCAATGCAAAGCTGTACTTGGAAGCAACTTGTCAAATATGTTATTGGCATAGCAATAAAATATTACTTTGATATTACAGTAAGTGAAGCTTTTCCATCTTGTGTATTCCTACAGCACAAAACCAACCGAAACTGCGCTTAAGTGGCAGATCTGGACAAAATATATGGTCCATGTTTGCCCAGAAGTAAAGGAGAGATGAAAAAAGAAGTCACAAATGAGATGGAAAGAAAAAGTTAAATATTGTCAAAAACATCCTCTAATAATGGGGACCTGCCAAGCGTCTTGACCTCCCATGCAGACCTGCTATTAAAAGCAACTCTGTAGCATATGCAAACTTAGAAGAGAAGTGCTAAGAATTAACATGAACGTAAGAAAATATCCAACTGCTGCTGGCTTTCAAACTGTGGACTTTGTTTTCTCATGGTACTAATGATGCTCGTGTGCTGTTAATTGTAGTGAGTGTGTTGTTGTTATATGGTTGGATAACAAAATAAATGGCTCTAGATACAGATAAGCAAGCCTGGCTCATTTCATACCATCACCATGTTGAGACCAGCAAACAATTAATTAATTGTTTGTGGATGGCTGCAGTAGAAAGCTGTTCAGCACCATGCCACAGATTTGGATTGTCATGTTTAACATAAGTGATCTTTGTAGCAAAGAATTAATAGTCTCTGTATGAAACCAGCTTAGTCAGCCTCTGAGCCACACTTTAACACCTCTCCTACAGAGCGTGCAAAGAGCCGTGCAAAATACCACGGTCAGCGGTGTACAGAGGTGCTTTACTGGCCACATCTCCATGTGTACAGGTGTTCTCTGATCAAGCACCTGCTGTGCTTTCCAGATGTAGCTGCTACTGCACGTGTCAACTCCACAAAGAGGTTTCATAGACACTGCAAGGCATGTATAGGCTCACTCTTTGTTGCTGTAGGCTGCTCTGTGCCTACCTGTGGTTCAGATCCAGCACAGATGTTCACAACCTGGGTGTTTCTTCTCCAAATGATAAAAACACTCTACTGCAAACCAGGGTTACCAGCATAAACATTTTTAAGAAATAAAGGCTAAAGTTCTGTGTGCTTCTATATAAATTAGGATTCATGGCTACAACTCTATCCTGTCACTTGTGATAATCATCATATACCTAACTGCAAGGATTAAAAACAATAAATTCTGCAAAATCCATCTCAGATTTAGAGTAACAGCTCCCTTCATGGTTTAAATGGACTCACCAAGCTTTAATGGATCCACAGCCCTTGCTCTGCTGCACACATCAATTGTCAGCATAACAGAAAGTGCGTGGCCAAATTTTGGGAGCTCAGCAATAGCTCAAGGTGACTTTGCAAATATTCCCTGCTGCCTGAAGCCAGTGAGACACAAAGGACAGCTGCTCTCAACCACTCAAATGAGGCAAAAGAAATGAGGCTGTCCTTCGGTGCTTTCATTACCTGGGCTTCTTTCTGGCTGCCACGCAGTTATTGCTTTCACCCCAGGTAAAGGAGCCATGACCAGCCAGTGCAGTTCAGTGCTGCTGCTGCAGACAGCGAGTTACTGCACTGCTGCAAATCACTACAGCGAGTGAGAGATTTACTCAGGTATTTTGAGTAACTCCCTCCCCCCATCTCACAGCACATCCTACGTTGACTACACTTGGGAAACGTCAGCACCTCCATAGCCCCTTCTGAAATACCAGTTTAGCATTACCTCAGCGAAACCCGCGTTACAAAGGTGTATTCCTGTGCCTCCAGCCACAGGCTGCTGTGGGAGAACCAGAGCACCACTCTCCCCCTCACCCGCAGAGGGAAAGGGCAACTGGCAGCAGGATGCTTAGCAATCCTTGCCCTCACCAGTGTGTTTCTGGAGATGTAGCTACCCACCAGCATGTTTCTGGATATATGGCTACCCACCAGCATGTTTCTGGATATATGGCTACCCACCAGCATGTTTCTGGATATATTGCTGCAAGCAATTCTCCTTTTTTTCAACACCATTTCTGACAGTCTTGGAGAAGCCATGATGATGATTTCTTTCCCCAGAGAGGAAGAGGTAATGACTTCACCCTCCCTCCAATGCCAGCAATCAGCTCCCTGAATCTCTGAGCCCCTGGCAGAAATGTCTGTGACCTGTTTAGGGAAGGATCGTCCCAGAAACCTTCACCGCAGACAATCATCCAGGTCTCATGAATGGAGAAGTTACAGTCACAAGAGGCTTTCCAGAAGAGCTGGGAGCAGTTGAGAAGGGAGTCAGTCTGCAGCAGGCTGGGCAAAGGCCGTTCATGCTTTAAGGAAGAGCTCTGCAGCCCTCACCAGACAGTTGTAACGCTGCCTTTGAAGCATTGATCACAGATAATACAGCATCGAACTGAGACTAAAGTACTTAGCATAACTAAAACCCAAGACCAATGGAACTTATTGACCAAAACGAAGACAGTAACTGTCTGGATGGAACTTGCCTAGCATCTAATTTGGAGGAAAAAGTGCATGTAGCTCTTCACTGCTAGGCTCATCAGACTCGAATTTGGGGCTGATGTAAACACTTGCCAAAATGGAACAAAAGAAGGTGACTCTATTGTAGGCAAAATTAATGAGATCCAGGAGATAAGGACTTTATAATTGCTGCTATAGGGCAAAAGCAAAGGATTTCAATTCAAGTAATTGGAAAAAATACATTTTTTAAAACTGCTGCAGGCTCACAAAGCTTTTGGATGAAAATTAATATCTAGGAAAGTAGATTTTCTGAGTTAAGATACTAAGCTGATGGTGTGGTTTATTTCCCCCATACATTTGCCTGCTGTAGTATTAGCGAAGATAGACTCCTCTGAATTTGAGACTTCTTGTAATTTTAATATTGCATGCATTAGCCTTGAGGAAGCAGAGAGTGGTGAAAAACTAGATGAAAGCCATGTAAGAAAACATGCTAGAGTCCAGCAATTATTTAACTAAGCCTTCTAACCCACACAACACACTGAAAATCTTAACACCTAATTAGTTTTTGACTCTAGGAGACAATATTGGACCTG